AAATTAAATACGATCTCGTGGCTAACCCAACCTTATCCGCTGCTAGCTGCGCATCTCCCCAAGTTATATTATGAATTTTATATTCATCTTTTTCCAAAAAATCAATCTTTGTCTCTCTGCGGACAATCCTACTGATTAAGAATATCGTAAATTTAATAAGATTCGATCAATTAAAATTAATATTACTCAAAATTAATATTTGTCGCTAGTGGTGAAAATAAGCTTAAAAAACTTGACTACGACGTAACTAGCAATTTTATTTGGTTATTTCACGACGTTTCGACCATTAATAAGATTCATTAAGTATTTTGGCTAATATCTGGGATAAACGAATCCGTAATTCCCGGCCGGCCGATAGGCGTCTCCACCATGTCGCCTGTCGACCCTTAATAATATTATCATAGATAGGATTTAAACTTTCCGTATCTTTTTGTAAATTGATCGTGTTTTTATTATGTTTTTTAATAAAAAACATTTCTGAGATTTCCCTCTTTCTCTTATGTTTTTCGCAGTACAAAATTTTCAAAGTTGTCCATTTAAAATTATACGTTTATTCCATCTTATGTTTGCTATTTACGCTATGATTACTGACATGCAATTTAATGTTATTCATATGTTCTTTAATTCGGATATTTAGTTGTCTTTTTGTTTGTCCTATGTATGTAGCGTCACAGTCATTACAGTCAATTTTATAAACTACTTCACTCATGTCAATCGTATCAATTTTATCTTTGCCACATTTAATTAGTTTATCAAGTCTTTTTGGTATTGTGTAAATTACTTTTAAGCCTGTCTTTTTCAAAGTTCTGCTGATATTCTCACTTAAATTTTTCATGTACGGTAGTAATATACAATTAGAAACACCGAATTCTCTCGCATTGAAATCCACATTATTTATCTCGTTTTTACATTTAATCAAAAAGTATATTTAATCAAAAGTCTTTTTTGGACGTGATAGTCATTCATATCAGACAAAAAACAATTATTCGATAAATTTTTTTAACAATAGCTATGTTATTGGCATGAAAACGTTCATCAGACAATAAAATTCGCGTGTTCAACCAAATTGTTAATCACGTTGACTTTGTATTTGTACGGGTGGTTCGAATAGTCGATAGTTTAAATACCTCCCCAAAGAGGTGGGTTTCTGATACCATTTAGTCACGAGTTTTCGGCACATCTGATAACAGTCGTATCCAAAAAACTTAACGTATTATTACACTCGACTTCATACGTAAATTGTAGTCTTATGGAAGCTGTTAAAAGTAGACAACATAGTGTCAACCTCAGTCTGCGGAATGATAGTAAAAATATCATCGATGTATCTATAGTAAACTGAGATCTCAAATTGCAACAAAGCATGACAATGTTTCTAAGTCATCCATGACAAGATCCGCCAAAATAAGTGATAAGGGAGAACCCATGGGAGTGCCATATATCTGCTCATAACATTGTCCGTCGAAACAAAAGCTAGTCGAACTAAGCAACAATTCAACGACATATAAAAATTGTTGTAAAGATACTTCGGGATATTTGTGAATAATGACTTAACATCAAGTGAGATCAATAACTCACTATCTTTAATAGTATGGTTTTTAATAATATTCGCGAACGTCTATCCATTCTTGATATGCGAGGGAGGTTTTCTAATCGAACTCTCAAGAATATCGTGAATAAACCGTGCTACATTGTAAGTACACAGACGACACAATAATACATAAGGAAAAATTCGGCTTATGAACTTTGGGCAACCCGTAACATCTCGGGAGATTCCCATTAGTAATATTCAGATGAAAACAATGATAAATTATTAAATTAAGGCCATGTGTAACGAGCAATACGATATTATTTTATTATTTAGAAGAAAATTCTTAATTTTAAATAATAATTACACAAACGTTTCAAGCTCTACTTGCTCCTCTTCAGTGCGCAAAAAAAATAGTGATAATAAATAACGATAATAAATAAATACATAAAATTCTAATAAAAAATCCGCAATACATAGTCAATATAAGTTATATAGTTAAGTCATAGTTAAAACGCAAAATATATTTACAATGAATTGAAACCATTAAAATAGTTCAACAAAGTAAGAACCCAATTAGAAGCAGAATGATTCGTCCGGTTATTCATAAAATATTTTAGAATTATTAATAAAACTCGGAGTGACACTTATACATTGCTCCAAACGAACCACTTATCGTTATTTGACGAAAGTCCCTCGATCTGGCAATGATTATGTCCATCCTCTCCAAATTATTTGATATTTGTTAACTGAATTTAGAGAATTTATTCATTGTAAAATAGGATTCCACTAATGTGTATGTAAAAAAGATTAAAAATTACAAATTAAACTAAATACTAAAATATTGAACCTTTATGCTTACAAATTGTTCCGAATAACTTGAGATGACGATGCTTCTAATTGTTGTTGGCCTTATTGTTAGTACTTGACTGTTGTCTAGTCTTTTAAAAAGTCGAATAAATAGGTGTCAGATCTCACAAAATAAACATTTACATAAGTCTAAAAATTCGATATTTCTTCTAGAATGTCGAAATACGCGTTGTTAAGCAATTCGGTGTCTGTGTTATTATTTATACCATGCCTTTGTTCCTTGATGTGTATCATTTCCGAGATAAGTCTTTTATAATAATTAGATTCAATATCAAGTATTTTAACGTTATCCCAATCAAAAGCATGTTTTTTATCTATAATATGTTCAGAGACCACAGAATGCTTGGAGGAATCAAATTTAATATTATTCATATGCTCTTTTAGTCTAGTGCGTAATTTTCTTTTGGTTTGCCCAACATACGAAGCTTCACAATCCTTACAATTAATTTTGTAGACAACATTATTATTATTCAGAAATAAATATTTTTATCGGCTCTCAATATAAATAATATAAGTATGCCGTCTTCTAAGCTGGGCAATAGAGCCAAGGAAACGAAACGAAAAATTAATTAAACGGAACTGTATCTCAATTTGAGATCCCAAAGTTCCACATATAAATTAATTTCGAAACTTACATATGGAGAATCATACATCTTTTTTATGATAGAATAGGTGCTATTGTCTTCAAGTAAACCTTCCATCTTATTCGTGTAATATTCTTTTGTCATCGCGACTGTTACGTTGCCCTTATCAGCCCTTGTAAAAGAATATCCGGATTATCATGGCAAACCTCCTTGTATATTTATGCATACTAATCAAATCTTCATGAGTTGAATTAAACTTAGTTTTGCCGTGTAAAAAATAGGAAAGTTGTGGAACCAGATTGTTACGTAATGTATTTAAATTTTTCATGTTAGAACTAGTGGAATTCCCTTCTATATCTTTGATAAACTCCAAGCATTCTGTGGTCTCTGAACATATTATAGATAAAAAAATGCTTTTGATTGGGATAACGTTAAAATACTTGATATTGAATCTAATTATTATAAAAGACTTATCTCGGAAATGATACACATCAAGGAACAAAGGCATGGTATAAATAATAACACAGACACCGAATTGCTTAACAACGCGTATTTCGACATTCTAGAAGAAATATCGAATTTTTAGACTTATGTAAATGTTTATTTTGTGAGATCTGACACCTATTTATTCGACTTTTTAAAAGACTAGACAACAGTCAAGTACTAACAATAAGGCCAACAACAATTAGAAGCATCGTCATCTCAAGTTATTCGGAACAATTTGTAAGCATAAAGGTTCAATATTTTAGTATTTAGTTTAATTTGTAATTTTTAATCTTTTTTTACATACACATTAGTGGAATCCTATTTTACAATTGAATAAATTCTCTAAATTCAGTTAACAAATATCAAATAATTTGGAGAGGATAGACATAATCATTGCCAGATCGAGGGACTTTCGTCAAATAACGATAAGTGGTTCGTTTGGAGCAATGTATAAGTGTCACTCCGAGTTTTTATTAATAATTCTAAAATATTTTATGAATAACCGGACGAATCATTCTGCTTTTAATTGGGTTCTTACTTTGTTGAACTATTTTAATGGTTTCAATTCATTGTAAATATATTTTGCGTTTTAACTATGACTTAACTATATAACTTATATTGACTATGTATTGCGGATTTTTTATTAGAATTTTATGTATTTATTTATTATCGTTATTTATTATCACTATTTTTTTTTGCGCACTGAAGAGGAGCAAGTAGAGCTCGAAACGTTTGTGTAATTATTATTTCAAATTAAGAATTTTCTTCTAAATAATAAAATAATATCGTATTGCTCGTTACACATGGCCTTAATTTAATAATTTATCATTGTTTTTATTGTCATACGAGCTTGAGCATTGGTATGTGATGGTTTGATTAGGTATTAATTTTGAATATTCAGATGTTTATACATGGTCCCATCGATCAAGTCATTGTCTTGCCAAGATTAATCAAGGAATTAATTTTCAAACTTACTTTTTTCTAAGGATCTTTTTCCAGTTTATCATAAGTAGATCGATCATTAAGTAACAAATTCATTTACTAAAATAATTATTCGTGTCCATAATCACGGTAGCCTGACCTTTATCAGCCCTTGTGACCAATATGTCCATATTACACGACAAAAACTTTTAACATTCTCCATAACATTGTTTGGAAGGTTTTTGCAACTGAGGTTTACAAGCCACTTTGACCGATCAATTCTTTTTAAACGGATTTGGAGAAATGTATTTCATACTATTAAACCGTTGAACTTATTAATAGACTAGGTTTTCATTACATGGTTAAATGTTACCAATTTACGCTTATTAAAACCGAAAATCTTAACAACAAATCATGTGGGACCTGATCATACAGTCTTTTTCGATATTATCTAATAATGACCGAAAATACTTTCAAGTTAATATTCAAATCTTTAATCTTCAAGTTCAACAGTCTAAATCCATTCCGTCTCACAATTAAGCCATATTTATGATTGATAACATTACTATAAGAAAGATGTTTATTCTTGAGTAATTTATGAGGTGGTAAAATCTCATATCTTTTTCACCGAAGTAAGAAAATTAACTGTTGTTTCAATGTAATTATCCTCTTTTTGTTGCTAGCCATGCTTTCAAGAGAGACGTGTACTGTTAAAGATAGTAAGTTATTGATCTCACTTGATGTTAAATTATTATTCACGAATATCCTGAAGGATCTTGTCCTTGATTCTATTAAAAAAAGATGGAGTGAAATTTCATGGTTAAATTGCTGAGTCATCCAATTTATGGAAAATATTTCATGGTATGTATCCGTTAATATTTTAAATATGTACTATTTTCTAATCACCCGTTACATATTTTAATTATTATTTTATATTTTCATGTCACATGCAGAAATATGATTCGGATTTTCATTATCACTTTAATGCCGATGGTTTCTTAAAACGATTGATTGAATGCCAAGGATTTAAAATTAAGTACTACCATTTTAGAGAGGAAGTAATATATCAATCTGATTATATTTTACGTAAGTATTTTTATTTTTTCACAGTACATATAATAATTGTAAATGATAAGATCTTATTTAGAAAATTAAATTTTTTAAAAATAAAGCTATTTAATTGATGTGTGATGAAAAGATCACTAACATAATTACCCTTTTATGTGCAAATCTTTCAGATGAGAATTTATTTATTTCAGCGAATAGCATCTTTGAGCTTCCTTTCATACATGAACTGACACCTGAACAACAAAACGACCTTAAGAACATATTAAAAGAGAAATGGAAAAAAATGGAAAAATGTTTCACATCGAGCTTCATATCGAGTTTCATATTCCAATGACCCAGAATATGGCTCAGAATGTAACGATTTATTCGATATGGTACAAGCATTACATATAAATCGTAATACCTATTAAGATTTTTTAGAATGATAGAGTTATTAACTATTCTATCTATTTATAATAAAAACATATTGTTTATGTATTTATAATGTAATAT